CACATCCTTTCTATAGTGGGGGCTGCAAAACTGAACACAGTACTCTGGATGTGGTCTCATCAGTGCAGAATAGAGGGGAATAATTATCTCCCTCGATCTGCTGGCAACACTCTTAGTAATGCATCCCAGTATGCCATCAGCTTTCTTGGGGACACTAACTTGTATCCATGTTATTGTCTACTGTAACCCCAGGTCCTTTTTTGCAAAGCAGTTGCTTAGCCAGTCAGTCCCTAGGCTGTACTGGGGCATGGGATTCTTCCATACTAAGTGCAGGACTTTACATGTGTCCTTGTTGAACCTCATGAGATTTCATCTAGCCCAACCCTCCAATTTGTCTAGGCCACTCTGAACCCTAGACCTACCCCCCAGCATATCTACTACACCCCACCACCCCAGCTTGGTGTCATCCATGAACTTGCTGAGGGTGCACTGTATCCCATCTTCCAGATCATTAATAAAAATATTGAACAAAACCAGACCCAGGACCAACACCTGCAGCACTCCACTTGACACCAGATGCCAGCTAGACATTGAGCCATTGACTGCTAACTACTACTAGCCTGACAATCCAGCCAGCTTTCCATCTACCTTACAGTCTATTCATCAAACCCATACTTCCTCAGGTTGCTTAAAAGAATACTGTGGGAGCCGGTATCAAAAGCCTTGCTAAAGTCAAGGTATATTATGTCCACTGCTTTCCTTGCATCCATAGAGCCAGTTATCTCATCACAGAAGTCAAATCAGGTTGGTCAGGCATGACTTGTCCTTGGTGAATCCATGCCAACTATTCCTAATCACCTTCTCCTCTAAATGCTTAGAAATGGATTCTTTGAGGACCTACTCCATGATGTTTCCAGGGACTGAGGTGAGGCTGACTGGCTCTTCTGGTGAGGCTCCCTTTCTTAAAGATGGGAACTATATTTGCCATTTTCCAGTTGTCCAAGACCTCCCTCGAATCACCATGAGTATTCAAAGATAATGGCCATTGGCTCTGCAATCACATCAGCCAACTCTCTCAGCCCCCTCAGATGCACTTAGCTACTTGCACTTAATACAGGGGTGGGCAAAATATGGCCCGTGGGCTGAATCTGGCAGCAGCTTCGGCCCCCACCTTGCTTGCT